TTAGATTGCGGCTGCAACTATTATAGCTGGCTCACAGGGCGGGTGTATAAGAATTTCTTTGGGGATCCGGGGCTGTGCAGCGGGAATACAGGATTCCCATAAGGTTTCCTTAGTTCAGGCACACCCAAAAAGTACTGTTTGCTTTGTTCACGGTATGATTTATGTTGGTTTAGTCCACGATATACATTGGCTGGATATATGCAACTCCCCAAGTACGGGATTGAGATCGACCTAACTTCATAAGCACCACGTTCGAATGTATCAATTATTCAGGTAGCAAACTGCGTAGAATTTTCTACAAGGTTCAATCTCTGTGCCGTACTGCATGCTCATTGGTCGAATGAATTTCCTTTGTAGCGCAATTTTTATTATAATTCTGTTGATTGTTTACTATATGATCTATCTTTCAACTGGATGTAGGTCAAGGCTAATTGCAATAGCGGACTAGACTCACATATGCAGCTCTTGCTGAGTTGTACATACTGGTGATGGAGATGGATCTGTAGGGGGATGATGAGATGATGCGGCGTGTGAGAGGGGAACATGAGGAATGGCGAGAGAGATCGGTGAGAGACGCGTCGAGACGGTACAGACGAATGAGAATGACATAGGAGAAGCAAATAACAGAGAGGAGCAGAGAGAATGGAGCGTAGTCACTGATAGAGATGCGAGAGAGAGATGAGAGCAGAGGAGGCGGGCGAGAAGGATGATAGGAGAATTGAGGTGAAGGAGGAGTGAGAGGGACGATGAAGAGTGCGGTGGAGACATTCTAAAGGTGTGTATAAGAGATAGTATTACACCAGTTTTTTTATTTAAAAGCGCATTTACTGCAATGATATTTTTATCTCCAGCGTTGCGGTTCCAGGTCATGCCTGCCCCAATAAATCAGGAAACCAAAATCTGGGAATAGACGACAATGATAGATACCATGGTTGGTGGAATTGTTAGCAGAAAATCAAGGGATGTGTGAGGTAATATATATGCCCGGATGCATACTGCAGATCGGATGTGGAATTCTATACTCAGAGGGCCGATCGCAGACCGCTCTCTTTTCTGTAGAACCCATTCATTACGCTCGCCACAGGAGGGTAACTTTAATGTAATGCTGGTCTCGTGTGTGTGTGTTGTGTGTGTGTGTGTCCAGTTTCGCGCAGCTACGACTCGATCAGCGATCGAGCGGCGAGTCCCAAGCAGCAGGCCAGTAGACGTCAAGCAGCCAACCACAGGCGGAAGCGTCGTGTCAGCAGCAGGAGAGTCAGTCACTGTTACCATCGGTGGCGGAAGGTATGCATCTCTCGGTGAGTGCTCTGTTTCTAGGTATATATTTTGACCCCGATACGGGTCACACCAGTAGCAGTTTCATCACTTGAGTTTAAGGCTATTAGTTGCAATTCGGTAATCTTTGGTAACGCTACAGTAATGCGCTACGGCGGAATAGCAAGGGGAGCAGTTGGCTGGCAAAAAAACAAACCGCGCGGCAATATTCACACACACACCGGCCCGCGCACGCATGACACAGCACCACAACACAACACCCATGCCACAAGCACTTCACGCGCAAACACACAGCACACCCACACACATGCACACCACACACACAGCGCCGCGCCGCATGCCACACACATTGCCTCATGCACACTACGCGCAGACATGCACAACATGCATTCATGCACGCACAACACACATCAACACACACACCACGCGACCGGCCGAACCCTGCACCACGGCATCCAGCCACGCATCCCACACAACTGACATACAAATGTACATACTCACAAAACCGAATCACACCTACACACAACCAGGACAACAGGCAGCACACCGCACAACACGCACGCCGCCACACGCCACAACGGCACAACACGCCACACGCACAAACAAACACACACACACACCACCCACACTCACACACTTCCTCTGTGTCTCTCTAATCCATCTCTCTCCGTCCTCTATCGTCTCTCTCCTCTCTCTCTCCTCTGTCTCTTCTCTCTCTGCTTCTTGTCTCTCTCGTCTACTCATGTCTCTCTTCTCTTGTCTCTACTTCTTCTCTTCATCTCTCTCTTCTCTTTCTCTTCTCATCTCTCCTCTCCTCTCTCTTTCTTTCCTCTCTCTCATCTCTCGTCTTTATCTCTCTTTTCTGCTCTCTCTCTCTTCTCTCTCTCTCTTTCTTTTCTTCTCTCTCTCTCTCTCTCTCTCTCTCTCTCTCTCACTCTCTCCTCTACCTCTCCTCTCTCTCTCTCTTCTTCGGCTCTCTTCTCTCTCTCTCTCTCTCTCATTCTTCTCTCTCTCTTCGACTCCTTCTCTCTCGTCTTGCTCTCCTCTCCTGTCTCTCAATCGCTCTCTCGTATCGGTCAGCTCTCTTCTTTTTGTCTTCTCTCTCGGCTCTTCTCTCTCTATTCTCACGTCTCTCTCGTTCTTTCTCTCTCTCTCTCTCTCTTCTCTCTCCTCTCTCTCTGTTCTTTCTATCTATATCTCTCTCTCTCTGTTCTTTCTTCTATCTTCTCTCTGCTCTTCTTCTTCTCTCCTCCTCTCCTCTGTTGCCTACTCTCGTCTCTCACTCTCTCTTGTCATCTTCTTCTCTCTGCTCTCTTGTCTATCTCTTTGTCTCTCTCTCTTCTTCTCTATGTCTCTCTCCACTTTTCTCCTGGTCCTCTGTCATCTCTCTCTATTCTACTTCGTCTCTCATCTCTCTCTTTCTCTCTCCTCTCTCTCTTCTCCTCTCTCTTCTCTCTCTACTCTCTCTCTCTCTTTTGTCTCTCTCATCTCTCTCTTGTCTCTCTCTACTACCTCTTCTGCGCTCTCTCTCTCTCTGCTCTCTCTTCTCTCTCTCTTCTTCTTTGTCTCGTTCTCTCTTGTTTCTTCTCTCTCTTTCTCATTTCGCTCTTCTTTCTTCTCTCCTAATTTTGTTTCCTTTGTCTGTCTCTCTCTCGCTCTTCGTGTCATGTCTCTCTCTCGCTCTCTCGCTCTTGTCTGTCTCTACTCTTTCTCTCTCTCTCTCTCTCTCTATCTCTCTTTCTCTTCTCTTGTCTCTTCTCTTTCTTCTCTCTCTCTTCTGCTCTTTCTCTCTCTCTCTCCTTGTTTTTCTCTCTCTCTATTCTCTCTCTTCTCTCTCTCTCTCTCTCTCTCTCTGTCTCTCTCTCTCTCGTCTTCTCTCTCTTCTCGTCTCGCTCTCTCTCTCTCTCTCTCTCTCTCTCTCTTCTCTTTCTGTTCTTCTCTCTCTCTTCTCTATGTAGTCTCTCTCTCGTTCTCTCTCTCTCTTGTCTCTCTCTCTAGTTTCTCTCTCTGCTCTCGTTGTCTCTCTCTCTCTCTCGCTCTTCTTCTTTCCTCTCTTCTCTCTCTCTCTCTCTCTACTTCTCTCTCTCTGCTTGTCTCTTCTTTCTTTCTCTTCGCTTCGTCTCTCTTGCTCTCTCTCTCTTCTCTCTCTATCTCTGTTCATCTTCTTGTCTCTTCTCTCTTCTCTCTCTCGTTCTCTTTCTCTTCTTCTCTTGTTCTTCTTCCTCTCTCTCTCTCTCGTCTCTCGTTCTCTCTTCTTCTCTCTCTCTCTTGTCTCTATCTCTCTCGTTCTCTCTCTCTTCTCGTTCTCTCTCGTCTACCTCTCCTCTTCTCTCTCTCTCTTCTTTCTCTCTCTCTGCGATTCTACTCTTCTCTCTTCTCTCTCTCTCTCTCTCTCTACTCTATCTGTCTTTTTCTCTCTTCTCTCTCTTATTTCTCTTCTTCTCTTGTTGCTCTCTCTATTGGCGTCTCTCATCTTGTCTATGCTTCTCTCTCTGCTCTCTTCTCTCTCTCTCTCTACTCTGATCATTTGTCCTCTGTCTAATACTGTCTTTCTTTCACTATCTCCGGTTACCCCGAGCATCGGCTTAGTTGGTTCGATGCGTAATGTGATGTAGAATATCGCAGTTATCACACGATACAAAGTCACACAACGCTAGATGCACGTATTTTCAGACACACATCTTCATAGGTTACGTTAGATCTACATAGCATGTTACCAACTGCGTACGGCAAGTTCAGACAGTTACAAAGATTGTTTAGCGCCATTATGTAATCTAACTACGAAAGTTGTCGGCGTCGGTCATAGTAACGGCACAGTCCGGTAATTCGAGATGCCAATCACTAAAGGCCAGAACATGCGAGTGTCGTGCTCGGCATTAAGCTCACTGGGTAGTTTGTCGTATTTGTTCTTTGCTTATTAAGATAAAATGTGTGTGACTAGAGTCGTACCATCCTCTAAGTGTAGATTGTGGCCGTCGCTTTTTCTGACGGTGGAGGCGATTCATATGAATTTGCTATTCAACGTCGATAGACTGCATTATGATATTTCTCTTCTAAAAATGAAGGTACTGTGATGTCGCTTTCCTTTTTTTTCTTTGTTCAGGGCGGAGATTGGATGGAACCTGGCCTTTAACACATCTACTCGGTTCTGGAATTCAGGAATTCTCACACCATTGGTGTCGAGTGGAACAATTCTGCTTTTATCTCATTCCTAATCTTCTTTGTGTCGTTATCCTCTTCTTCTTTCTTCAGGGCCTTCTAGCGAAACGGCATTGTTTCAGCTGTTTTTGTCAATTTTTAGCTTCATCTGACCTGAGTCAGACTGCAGCTTGTAGCATTCGCTTGATCGTCCGTGCTGTCCCGTCCGTTCGCGTCCGTTCCGTGGTCGTCGCCGGGCGTAAGTTGGGCCAATCTTAGCGCTCGCGTATGGTCACGATTGTCGGGCATGTGGGGGGTTAATTCGAAAACGTGCTTGGGATGTCGAAAGCTGTGTCCGGGGGTCAAGGTCAAGGTCAAGAGGATGTGTAAAATAAGGGGGAAATTCACTTTCTTAACTTAGGGTATAGGTAGGAAATGCAGAATTGCGGCACAAATCTAAACGCTCGACCTAGGTCGTTGATAGTCGGTGTATAGCATCATGGTAGGAAAACGCTATTCACTGTTGCGCGAATTTGGACATTGGGTCACAGGTCCAGGTCGTGGACGCACAGCCGGCAGATTTTATACATTTTCTGAGACATTGGTCTGACGGAGCGATTGGAAAACTTTCTTTTGTTTAAGCCGTGTTGACTAGCATTTTATGGACTTTATCTGAAAGGACATGAATGTCTTCTGGCTTGACATGCGAAGAGTAAGTGTCGGATAACTTTTGACCTCAGAGGAGGGATTAAACATGGTTTGTTTGACTCGTTAAACGAAGGCCTGAAATGCTTTGCTATTTGTGGATGTGACGTACAGTTGCAAACAGTTAACATTGCAAAGGCAAATGTTTGCTTGAACAAGGTTTACGCTCCTTAAATCTATTATTTTCTAAGCAGTCTCTGTATAGACATGGTGCACCTGTGATTGCACACTTGTATATGAACCTGACTGCCTCGTGTGTGTATGGCAAAAACCATGGGGGCAGCCATTACGCATGCACAGGGGGTGAACTGGACTATTCTAATCTATTATTTTCTAATTTATAACCTGGCCCAATGAGGCATGTGTTAACTCAAGTGAGCGAAATTCTCTTGCCTGAATATTCTCCTGCCCTGCCTGCCCGCAATCTGGCCACCAGTTTGAGGTTATCACGCCGAAGGTGTGATCCCATCTATTGATTATTGATGACCTTGCACGCGCCGATCTCGCAGGCAACTGCTTTTTGTATTAGAAGCATCCTTTCACCCGCCCCTCCCCACTATCCCCCCCCACACTACGCTCGCGCTCGACACTTCCATTGATAAATGTTAATATAGCGAAGTCCAAGCTGTTCTTTATTACTGTATACGCGATATATAGCACAGCCCTAGCTTCATAGATTTTTAGATCTGATACTTAGTAGTATCCTAGATTATATGTCTGGCCACGAAGCGGTGGATGGGACGGTGCTCTTCATTCGTTTGCGTGAGTTTAGCTCGAACACCGTTGCGTCAGGTGGAGCGCTGCTCGCCTCTGCGGCACTTGTGTTAAAACGGTGAATGCATGTGCAAAGTATTATTGCTGTGAATTGTATCCTATTGTTGGTATTGATTGTGTCGCTGTGTATTGTTTCTCGATGTTGTTGTATGTATGGTGTGTACTGTTCTCGATGCCTATCTTATTCGAGTGTCAGTGGGCTTAATCGCCTTGAGTGGCTGTAATCGAGGGTCAGCTGCCATGGCTGTATTTTACGTCGTTTGGCACGTCGGAGAATTCGCTTAACAGCGGCAGTCATTGTATAACATCCCTCGCTCGCTCTGCTGCAGTCACGGACCACGCTAGGTGAGCTTCCACTACCTGTCATGTTCCTCCTACATCAAGCCTTAACTACGTAGCCACCACGCGGGGCTGTTGCGCTGTACCGCTACATTGTCATGTGATTACATTTTTTAATTTTGGGCCGCTGTTGAATTATGTAGCGAGTGGCCTAAAATCCTTAATTCATCTTAGCGACAGCTGTAAGCCATGAGATCACCTTCATATAGTGCAAGTATTCTAATGTATAGTACAAGCATTATAACATATAATGCAATAATTCTATCCTATAATGCAAGCAACTCTGATATTGGTGGCATGTTCTACGTTCCTCAGCAGAAGATTCTCAGCATCATCATCAACTTCATCAGCAAAGTCGCGGACACGTACTCACCATTGACACAATAGAAGATCAATCCAGGCCAAGGAAGAGCAGTCAGACTAAGAGTGATCCAAACCCTGCACCTATACTTATTCAATATTGTATCGTTGTGGTCAGTGAGGAGAATTTATAAATGCTTCAAGTATTGTTGGGATCATTGATATTGTTAGGTTTTGTGTATGGTTGTCTGCTCAGACATAAATATGTTGGCGTATTTATTTCTGTAGTGGAGACTTATTCTGATCATTGCGAGTGATTTAAGTTTTGTTTGTTAGTCTGTACTAAAGGTGACGTGTGTGTATAGGAAGGAGAAGCGTGTTTTTATGATGTATTTTTTTGATAAATAACTGCGGTATTCTTAATTTTCTATTCTCAATCCTAAATTACATGTCCTAAATCCTATTTGCGGTCTTGTAGCACGAATTGTTTGTCTATGCTGTGAAGAGTTCATAATATATAGAATGTCGGTTAACATAAAAGCATGACTTGACAGTTTTTTTCATCGCCAATTCACCAGATAATGTGTATGTCCTAACTTGCCTTGTAACCTACTTCTGTGATTCGCGGGTATACGCATGGGAGGGGTTGCACATATAGTAGACAAACCGTACCGAAATTCCAGATAACTAACTCGATTGGATCGCAGTATTGGTAAAGGTAATAAGGGTGAGAAATCCCTTGACACCATTGATATATATAAATATATATATCTCTCTCTCTCCCGTCTCTCGCCTCTTTCTTGTTCCTCTCTCCTCTCCTCTATCTCACGTTTGTGATTATATACTCCTGATATACATATATATCTATATATATACATATATATCAAGAGTCCATAATAGAGACTCCATCATTGAGTTACATATATAAATGTTTGTGATATATATCAACAATGCATGGGCGTATCGGTTACTCTGGTCGACTGCTGGCAGTGAGCGTATAGCCGTGCGAAAATATGCGCCCGATTCACGGGATGACCGGAGGAAAGAGAGTTAGCAGGAGAGATGGACACACCGGCGTTTCCTCTTGTTTACGTACGAGTCAACAAACAACAGGTGGAAACTAACAGTTTCTCACGCGTGCAGCGACGAGGTTAGGGGTGCCCGAACCAACAAGCTAAATGAATAAATATATACACGTAGCGAAAGGGAAAGAGAGCAAGAACAACTGAGTGTATACAGAGGCAAAAATATTCATTAAAGACTATATTCGATTTATTTGCGATTCGTTTCGGTTTCAAACAACCGCTTGCTGTACATAATTCCCACTAGATGGCGCTTGGTCACTACACATCTGCTGCGGCATTCTCGCAGGACGGCCGCACTTTTTAAGTTTAATTTACATGCACAAAACGCAACTTTTACACAAAATACACGGCGTTTGCCTTTTGCGATCGCCACCCGTACCGTCGCCTGGCGCCACCTACGGCCGCCACGCAAGCGCGTACGCCTACGTGCGAGGACGCGTGGAGCCGCCTGTGGCCGGCGTGGCGCCTGAGCGAGTTTTCGAGGGCGTGCGGCGACGTGTGGCGCCATCTGCGGTCGACAAGCAGCGCTGCTGGAGCGAGCGGAGGTCAGCAAGGAAGCGAATGGTGTCCGAGGGTAGAGTCTCCAGCCACCCGTCACTCTTACGCAGGTCAGCGATCTCCTTCCTGAGCCTGCAACAAGAGACGCACGCGTGAAGGTCGTGTGGAGGTCACCTGGAGGACACGGGTAGGTCGGACGATGCAAGGATCTCCTTTCTATTCACATTCGAATAGTTCTCTTTCAGATGCTTGTCACTTCCGATACTCTTTTGTAAAGTCGGTGTTTCCAATATAAAAATAAGTGTACTAGAGGCAAATATTATGGAAAACTTATTAACTTACTAGTGTATAATAATAATCATAATAATAATAATAATAATAA